CCATCCATCCATCTATCCATCCATCCATCCATCTACCCATCCATCTATCCATCCATCTATCTATCCATCCATCCATCCATCCATCCATCCATCTCATATTGACAGAAAAAGTTTCTTTTATACAGTGAAAGTTTTTTCCTAGTCAAATTCAAGTCACATTTCAAAACATTTGTTGTTCTTTTTTTTTAAATGAATAAAAGTCAATGCAACTTTTATTCAGGATGAGTTTTCCAAAGATAGCTGATTGCTGGGAAAACCCACAGATGCATCTCCTCGGTTGGTGTGGTGAAAAGTTTTAGTGAAGTGAAGTCTTTGCATCGAATGGATAAAACTTTGCAATCACCTCTGGTGATCTGCTTTGAGGCTTGTTTTGTTTAATACAAGGACTTCAAGCTCTTCCCTCACCAACCACATCAACATATTGTGCATTCAATATTTAAGCAGCTCACGGAACCAAAACAAATTTGTCATATGGTGACCCAGAAAACAGCAGTGCACTCATGTGCAGACAAGCGACACATTTTCCCATTAAATATGAAACGCTATGAATATTTATTGGGTTTCGAATTCCTTCCTTTAGATTGCCTCCTGTATTTATTATGTCTTTAAAATATTCCTTTTTATATGTTACATATATTTATGTACACATATTTAATGAAATATATTTCTACAAAAAACATCCTGAACATGAAGTGTTCATCAAGCGGGCTGGATTAAACACCCTGGCGGGCTAGGTTTGGTCCGCGGGCTGTATGTTTGAAACTCCTATTCTAAACACATTAGTCCTTCTGAATCTGAACTTAAACATAAATACACCCAGAATTGTATTTGTGTTTTCAGATACCAGTAACATTTAGAGATTTTTCTTACCTCTTGAAGATGATGAATGCCACAAGACCAACCACAACGGCTGCAAGGATGGAGCAGTAGATGGGGATAAGTTTGTCGTTCAGTCCCTGGTAGATCCACTCCTGGGAGTCCCCGTCTGTTGTGGTGACGGTCGTCTCTGTAGGAATGTTTGGTGGAGGGTCCACTGGAGGAAAGTCTTCCGGGGAAATGGAAGCACCGGTGAATGGAGTTGGGGGGACGAAGGAAGGGTCAACTGTGATAGAAAAACATTCACGAGGTGAAAAACATCATCACCTGGTTGTACCCTTCTATAATACATTGATTTGATATCGATTGGACGCAAACACAATAATGCTGTAAATCACCTTAAAGGTAGACATTTTACAGGGTTAATAAAGTGTCTAAGACTTTGTTTATCGCAGGGTCATGGAGGATTTCGTTCTCTTTGCACGTCAACATGAATGCCTCAAGTTGACTCTGGGGCAAAGCAGAGTCTGTTTTTACGATCCAACATTTTGTTTTACCCCTTTTACCTCAAATACCCCCCCCCCCAGCCCCCCCGACCAAAAGCTAATCGTTAGCAATTTTAGCACGTCTAGCCGTGTCTGTTCTGGCTGTTTCTATTTTCTAAGTCTTGTAATTTCGAAGCTTCATTCGAATTATACTTCACTCTAATAAATGGCAAGAAGTCACTTTGAGTCGAAGTATATTCACCACTGACTTGACACAAATACTAATTCTTAAACTATGTACCTGATTAAAACTCAACGTCGCGACTATATAGCTGGTAGCAACAGAGAAACTATCGAGCTGACTACTGAACCATCAAAAACGGTTTGTTTTGGTCTTTCAAGTAAGTATTTTATGTTATGATTCAGACGTAATGTTCTGACTGACAGTCTCTTCTTGCATCCCTGCTTTAGACAGTAATGTACAGAGATTGTGTTCACTGTGTGGGCGGAGCTTTCCAGAGAGGAGAGATGGAAACGGCACGTTTTCACCCTTAGCAAATGAGAATAGGATATTTAGGATACTTCATGAGTGTTAGCAGTCACACCTCACCAAAAACAGGTTGACATTTTGCAATCACTTACAAGCTTTTGCATTTCATTTCATTTGAAATAAACCACGCCCAGAACTCCAGCCTTTTCGATTAAGTCGTAAACATGTTTCAGATCGGGATAAAATCAATTGACTTTGGAAAATGGTATCAAAATGACCCTTAATGCCATTTCTATAGGGGCATATTCACATTTCATAGGTCCGTTGGAACCAAATTTCTGTCTGTTTGACACCATGGGTATTGGAAACTTGAAATGCATATGCTGTCAACTAAAAAAAAACAAAAAAACAAAATCAATAGACACAGGATGTTGGTTTGTATCATCTAAAAACAGCTGCTGGTTGAAAAATAAATAATAAATATGATTTAGAATATGAAACAATTTCCCACAAACACACACATACACAGGTTACCTCAAGATGCCCTCTATCCTAGCGGGAACCCTAAAATGTCCCAACAAGGAGCTATAACATGACCACACGCACACACTTGGTCATTTCCCATCCTCCCCGAGGAGCCATTAAAAGCGGTGAAAGCAAACTTGTCAATCCAACCCTTTTTCCACTTCTCTCTAACCATTAACACTGAGCAGACCTGTTCGCTCCTCGCCGCGGATATGGAAAGTGTTCCTCGCCTGTCATTTACTTACAGTTGCTCACATCATCGACAGGAAATTGTCTCGTTAGCCAACAATGTTTCCAAAAACCCCAGGAGAGCCGCTGAGTGCAAGGTGGCCATTCTTCACTAAGAGACAATTCTCCATGAAAGCTTATTTAGATGGATTCACATGTTGGCAGGGCAATTTAGGTAAGTACTTGATAGCGGCGCCATTATGTGAAGTATCTAAGAATACAACCACAGAGTCCGTCATGCTTACTCGCTAACCTGACCACTGAAAGTCTCCTTTATACTAGTTTAACTTAAATAGTTGCAGTATCATGGGTGACAAACAAATCATTAAGGAAATCAAAGGGAATACCAGAAAATACGTCATATGGTTTGATTTGATTACTAATCTCCTGTTTCGCTGTTTATTGTTCTGGATGGTTTGTCTAGTCTGGTGACTGTAAAAAACACAACAGCCTCTGCAAACTTATAAGAGCATGGATGATTTCAACATGTCATTTACCAATAAATTGGATTTAAAGGAATTATTGTCAACTTAAAGAGCCGTTTTCAAAGTGGGGACCGTCCTGTTTCCCTGAATCGTTGGGATTCCGAACACACACTCAAGTGACAACCTCGAATCCGGCATGACGACGTCATTGTCTGTGTAGACCTGGCGGTGTGCGCCGGTCATCAAACTGCTTCTCAAGCTAGCGTGTAACTAGCGAGCACGTGTTTGTCAATCATTTTCTTGTGCTTAACAAATGTAATAGTCATTGAATACTGACTTAAAATAAGAAAATACATTTTAAAAGCTTCTTTTAAAACAACGACGACCTGGCACGTGTTGTACTCACTTTCACCACTATGCAGCCCTGAGACCATTATGGTTTAGCCTCGGTCTGAAGCAGTGGTTCTCAATTTAATTTCTGTCATGCCGCCCCTTAAGGACAAAAATGTTTTCACGCCCTCCCAGCACCCCCTCCAGCCCACACCCTGTGCATTGAAATACTATGAAGAACCTGATATTTGAACAAGTATATTTGTATCTGTACAAACCACTGTATGAGACTTGTTATCATTCAAGCATTACAGCGATGTAATATAAAAGTACTCGCATAAAGAAAGGTATTGATAAAGAATACGGCAAAAACAAAACACTTGACACTCCATGTCACAGCTTGACTCATTATTATCTACTCCAGAACATCTTATCTGGCGCACAAAATATTTTATCGCACTGACTTTGAATGTCATTTTCGCACTCCCATTTGTTTGGATTCTTTCTTGAGTTTTGCAACGGCTTCGATTGGTTGCACGATTGGTTTTCCAAAAATGAGAGTGATAAGACAAAACTCCATCTTGCTTGTAGCCTTAAGTTAGCGTTTTATATTGACAAATAAAACAAAGCTAGAGTAAATGTGACTTCATTTCCAAGAACTGAATTTCAAACCTCCTCCTTTGATTTAGCAGTATAGCACCAGTGACATTACTCAGGTACTGCATATGTTCTATAAGCCTTGTCATGCCAGAAATGACTCAGTCTCAGAGCCTATGAAGCATGTGTTGCACATAGTTAGTGCTTACTGTGACCACTGTGGTGACATGTGACACTGAAAGAATTTTGCAATGCGTAGAGAGAGGTGTCTAAGTGCCTTGATTCTTTTGGACTCGCTTGAACTTGTCTTTGAGTCGTCAGTGTCAGGAAAATCATCCGGGGAGGATAAATGAAAAGCACAAGGCAAATATCGACGTTGAACCCTGGTCTAAGGACACGCTGAATGATAGTGATGTTTTGACTGAGATTGAAATGGTAACGTTATAAACCTCTTCATTTCATACACTGGCCGACACTTGACCTTGAACATGTAAAAAATGTAATTCTTCATATTTTTGGGGAAGAGGTTTCATGCAAGTATAAAACCCCCTAAAATATAATAGTACAAAAAAATCAGTTTCACATCGACATATTTGATGTGACAGAACTACATTCAGTGACAACACTGAGCATATAGAGACCAATCACATTAAAGAACTGAATAGATAAGTGGACTACGCAGACCATAGGGGGCAGTATTAATACCTGAGCTTGCGATGTCAAGGAACATCGTTCATACTCTATGACAAGGTCTTTCCGTCAGTGGTGTTTTTGTCTCTGCCGATGACAAAGTTATGGTCTAAGATGACGATGCCAGGAAACAACAGTGGTTCAAGTGATGCATGAGTCATTTCCCCAAATGCTTTGGCCATCCCACAATCTGGGCTTGTTATTAACACACTACCCAGAAGTGCTAATTAAACAGTTCAGAGTTGTGCTAAAAGCAAAACAACTCAATTATATTCAATGCATAATCTTGGTAAAAAAAAAAAAAGAAATAATTATTGCAGACTGTACATTTCCCAGTTATGGGGAAAGTTATTATTATGAATACATACTTTTATAAAAGTGTACAATTCAGAACAGAAAAAGAGGGTCTCTAGGGTTAAAGAAGGGTGAGACCGCTGCAAAGACCTCTGCCTCAATTTTTACTTCATTTAAAGTCTGTTTCTGGTATCTGGCCAGATATGTTTATTACGATAATCCTTAGAAAAAACACACCCACTGATCCTGTGATGTAAGCTTGACCCGCGGTGCAAACGGTGGTTTTTAGAACCACCTACGAGACACAGTCGACTGTTTACTTTGGAAGTGTTAAGTTTTCTAAGCGTTTTCCATCTATGATGTAATCTAGTGCTGAACAAATAAACCAGAATCAGAACCGTAACGTCGCACCGTGCGAAGTCAGCCTCATGATTTGACATAAGCTTCCTGATGCCAGCAAACAACTCAAAATATTAAGAATGGCCCGAGAAAGTGAGAGACAGAGGGAGGGAGAGGGAGAGGGAGAGAGAGAGAACATTTGTGTGGTACTGTTTCTGTTTTAGCGGTTGATGCCGTCAGTTACAGGCTTGTAGGGCCTGTGTAAATGTTTCTTTCCCACTTAGTTCATCTTGTGAAAACTTGTCAGTGATCAGTGCTGTAATGATACCTTTCCAAATGGTTGATGAGGTAATCATAAAATAATCAAAAACAACACAATTTACCTCCCAAGAACTCTATATTACTAAATAACAATACTGTGGCCATTTCAACTCCGGCTATTTCGGGTTTGTATGTACTGGAGAAGCAGTGCTGGACATTTTTTGCTCTGCATACTGTCACTGCAGTTGTAAAAAAAAAAAAAAAAAAAAAAAAATTACAAGTTCAGTCAAGTTGGGTGTCAACACAAGCTTACTAAGGGAAACAAATTCATTTTGTTTGTGTGTGTGTGTGTGTGTGTCTATACCAGGCATGGGCAAACTATGGCCCAGGGGTTATCCGCGGCCCAGTTGGCTTTTTAATCAGGCCGGCCAAACTTGTGTTGGCTTTTTAATCAGGCTGGCCAACCTTGTCCAAATTATTTTATTAATTTATATTATCATTACATTTCTGCCTTTTCCCTGCAATGCCTGAATGTTCTTATTAAATGGCGTAGAAAAGGCTAAAAGCATTTTAGCATTTTAGCCTTTATGCATGACTTTTATCTTAGTTCACACGAACACTT